GCAACGTTGACCCCCGAAGAAAAAAGTACCCGCGGATGAGAAAGATCTGGAGATCCCTGTATTCCTTCCTCCAGGCGGACCCCTACTTCATCAACTCAGAATCACGGGTTTTCAGCCTCCACCAGAAAATCAACAAAGCCAAAGACCCAACGAGAACAAACATATGACAACAGCAGTGTAGGCCACACTTCCTCTCACTAACGGAAGGCGCTTGTATGAGGGCACCTGGAAGACGAAACTCCTCTTGAGGAGACCCACTGTAGGGACCCAAGAGCATCTGACTTTTTTTCATGCTTCCGGCGCAAGCAGGGGCCGGGGCCGATGCTGAAGCGAATGAAGTCACGAATAAACCTGGCAGTTGAACGTGGGAACTGTTGTAAGTGGAGAATGCCCTCTGAAATGGGACGAAAAACCACAGCGAGTTAGCAACGCATCCTTGGCAATGCATCGACACTCATAACTCCCAGGCGCCAGAAACGGGGCCTTGAAAAGGCCGATTCCGATGCATTGCACCAGTCGGAATGCAATATTCCTGCCAAGGGCGGGGCGATTCAACCCCCTCTTCAACCTTCCCAGTTGTTCAGCAGCCCTGGCTGAAACAGGGAACCCTTTTTTGGGGATTGACTAGTAGGGAAACCACCAAAGAAAAATGATAGACAAGAATTGGTGCCACGGAAGAACTGGGCCTATGCACAAGTTTGACTTCGAGTTGAGTTTGATCGACTTTGGTCGAGCGCAGCGGTCCAAGTTTGTTGGATGAATTCAGCCGGAGATTTCTTGAAATTGTCCGGTTGAATTCTCTAGGCTAAATTTGGTCAACTTTGGTCGGGTTTGGTCCAGTTTGGTCGAATTTGGTCGAATGCGGTCGAGTTTGCTCCAGTTTGGTTCGGTCGAGTTTAGTTGGATTTTGCTCGAGTTTGGTCGAATTTGTTCAAGTTTGGTCGAGTTTTGTCGATTTTGGTTGATTTTGGTCGAATTTGGTCGCATGTGGTCGCGTGGGGTCTAGCGCTGTCATTTCTAATTGACTTCGAATTTAGTTTGGTCGACTTCGGTCGAGCGTAGTGGTCCAATTTGGTTGGATTGGGCAGTCCATCGCCAGACTGAATTCAACCGGAAAGTTCTTGAAATTTTCCAGTCATATTCTCTAGCCTGAATTTGGTCAAATTTGGTGGGGTTTGGTCGACTTTGGTCGGGTGTGGTCGAGTTTGGTTAAATTAGGTCGAATTTGTTCGAATTTGGTCAAATTTGGTCGAACTTGGTCGAGTCGGGTCGAGTTTGGTTGGATTTTGCTGGATTTAGGTCGAATCTGGTCAAGTTTGGTCGCCTCTGGTCGAATTTGATCGAATTTTGGTCGCATGGTCTCGAGCGCTGTCTATTTTAGTTGACGTTGAGTTGAGTTTCTCGAGTTTGGTCGGGTGTGGTTGAGTTTGGTTGAGTTTGGTCGAATTCGGTCGCGGTTGGTCCAGTTTGGTCAGGTTTGGTCGAGTTTGGTTGGATGTTGCTCGACTTTGGTCGAATCTGCTGAAGTTTGGTCGAGTTTGGTTGAATTTGGTCGCAGGGCGTCGGGCGCTGTCTATGTTAGTTGACCTTGAGTTGAATTTGGTCGACTTTGGTCGAGCGCAGTGGTCCAAGTTGGTCGGATTGGGCGGTCCATCGCCAGACTGAATTCAACCGGATTTTTTTTGATATTTTCCAGTCACATTCTCTGGGCTGAATCTGGTCAAATTTGGTCGGGTTTGGTCGAGTTTGGTCGAATTTGGTCGAGTTCGGTTGGATTTTGCTCGAGTTTGGTCGCATTTGTTCAAGTTTGGTCGAGTTTGGTCGATATCGGCCGAGTTTGGTCAAATTTGGTCGAGTTTGGTCGAGTTGGCTGAATTTGGTCGCATGGTGTCGAGTGCTGTCTGTCTACGCTGTCTACGTTAGTTGACTTTGTGTGAATTTGGTCGACTTTGGTCGAGCGCAGCGGTCCAAGTTGGTCGGATTGGGCGGTCCATCGGGCGCAGTGGTCCAAGTTGGTCGGATTGGGCGGGTTTGGTCGAGTTTGGTAGGGTGTTCGGTTGAATTTGGTCGAATTTGGTCGAATCTGGTCGAGTTGGGTCGAGTTTGGCCGAGCTCGGTCCAGTTTGGTCACGTTTGGCCGAGTTTGGTCGAGTTCGGTTGGATTTTTGTTCGAGTTTGGTCGCATTTGTTCAAGTTTGGTCGAGTTTTGTCGAATTCGGCCGATTTTGGTCGAATTTGGTCGCATGGGGTCGAGCGCTGTCAACTTTAATGGACTTCTAGCAAGTTTGGTCGCAAGCTGCCCGGGCCTCTGCTGCCTTGTGATGCTGCCCAGCAAGAGTCGAGCCAGCTGCGGCCTCCGTGGGAACCCCCGGCGCCCGCAAACAACAAACAAACAAATTGTTTTTTTTTGTCTCGAACAAGAGGGGTACCCTATTGGGAAGTGCCTACCATTCCTTGTTCCATGAAGAGCCGGTCCAAAACGGCTTCCCCGATTTTGAGAGAGACTCAATTATTTTGTGTTGTTTAAGATTGTTTAAGCTGGGTCTAATGTGTGGAAGAGCCGTCTCTGGCCTCCGAGCACATGCCAAAGCAGATCAGCCTCGGGTGGGCGGGCCGAAGGACGCGTCGGGCACCGGCCCCCACAACCCAAGATGAGATCCTTCGGCTCGAGAACACCATCCGACGCCACAGGTGACTGCGGGTTGACCTCTGGTGGGTTCTCAGAATTGGGCAGCCTAATTCCGGTGCGGGGTGTTGATGTTTTTTTTTTAGGTTTTGAGAGAGACTCAATTGTTTTGTGTTGTTTAAGATTGTTTAAGCTGGGTCTAATGTGTGGAAGAGCCGTCTCTGGCCTCCGAGCACATGCCAAAGCAGATCAGCCTCGGGTGGGCGGGCCGAAGGACGCGTCGGGCACCGGCCCCCACAACCCAAGATGAGATCCTTCGGCTCGAGAACACCATCCGACGCCACAGGTGACTGCGGGTTGACCTCTGGTGGGTTCTCAGAATTGGGCAGCCTAATTCCGGTGCGGGGTGTTGATGTTTTTTTTTTAGGTCTCCGCTCGCCAAACCAACCAAAAGACGGGGAACACTGCCGCCAAGCGGCGCATCGAGCGCGGCCGCCGCACTGCTGAAGCCCGGAGGCTTGGCAGCCGCGAAGGCCGCGATAACGGAGCTGGACCTCGTGGGCAACACTTGGCCGGCCGCCACGCTAGGAACACAGCAGTTGCTCGAGCTCTCAGCAATCTGACAGAACACGGACTCCGCTGGCCTGTCAAGGCTTGGCCGAAGAAGAAGGGAGTGCCAAAGCCTGGTCAGGCAACGTGCCGCCACTTGAAACTGCCCTTGCCAAGACTTTGCAATCTGATAGGCAGATGGTCGGCTCTGCCCGCACCCAACGGGAAGATGACTGGCACTTGCACTGCATGCGTGTGCCTTCATTGGCTTTTGCGGTCTACGATGGCAGGAGCTAGTTTTGTATAGCTCTAGCACATTCTGTGGCCCATTGCAAATTGTAGATGTGGCCTTGCGGGCCACTCCAATGCACGATCGAATTAGCCAGCATGCCAGTGCCAGGTCCGTGTTTATTGCAAACACCGGAGGCTCTGCTGCTGGCATTGTGCCAAGTGATAGCATGAGCTAGTTCTCTCTAGCTCCAGCACATTCTGTGGCCCATTGCAAACTGTAGATGTGGCCTTGCGCGCCACTCCAATGCATGATCGAATTAGCCGGCATGCCAGTGCCAGGTCCACGTTTTTTTTGCAGACACTGGAGGCTCTGCTGCTGGCATTGTGCCATGCAAGAAACGGCGACCGCCGCGACTTTGCCAATGCTGCATCACTGCGAGCTGGCCTGTGAAGCACTGCCGGAAGCTTTCTTTTCATTCTTTTCCCGGACCCATCCATCCAGGAGTTGCCTGGCAAGCACCTTTGCCGGAGGAGTGGTCCTGGAAGGAAGCAGTCGAGTTCAACACGAGCTTTGTTGAGTTGGTGAGCCCCAAGACCAGAACAAAAGAAGAAATCCCAGTCAAAACGCCGACTTCGGGTAATCAACCTGCTTCCCACACTGCCAGTGCAAGCAAGCAAGAGCAACTTCCAACACTCGCAGACAACCTCGTGGACGTTTGGCCCAGTCCTGGCATCGCCGTGCAACGCGTGCACAGCTTTGGCGACACCACTCGCCAAAGCTTCCCCCAGCGGCATTTTTGCCTTGCCCACTTTGATCAGTGCCTCGTAGTGCCTCATGAAGGCGGCATGGGTCAGACCTGCCAGCATGCCAGCAACGGTCTTGTCCGCCTCCTCAGTTTTGGCCGCCTTGCGCGGAGTCCAAATAGCATCTTCGGCAGCTGACTGCGCCGCCCGGGCCTTGCGCTTCTTCTGCGCTGCTTTGGCTCTGGCCTTGTCCCTCTTCTGTTGCACAGCCTGTATTGTTTCCCATGCGCCTGGCGCATCACATGGCCTGCCAGCTGGCTGCGGCATGCACTTGATCACTTTGTCGGTCCGGGTGAAGTCCTGCAAGCTGTGGAACTCTACCGCGCCGGTGCCCTCAATCCACTGCACGAAGAGATCATGTTCGCATTGCCCCCGGCATGCAAACGTGGAGCAAGAGCAAAGGTAGGGCAGCCCCCAGCAGTCCTCTTGCTGCACGCGCTTGGTGCGCGGCCGGCTGACAAGCACAAGCTCCTGCACGATCTCTTCCAGCATGGCCAAGGACACGGAGCCATCATCTTTGACAATGTGAAGTTTTTTGGCGGCGCAGAGGATTTCTGGCTTGGTTTCAGCCCTCATGAAAGCAGCAAAGGCCTCAGCTGTCTTCTGGTCCACCTGGTGGCTTGGCTCGTACTTCCACATGACATAGTGTCTGTCAAAGTCCATCAGCTCCTGATCGATTCGGTGGAAGTTCCACGGGGCCCTCTGCGCAAACTGCCAAGCCGATTTCGCCCATTGCTGATGGCCCATGCTGTCCTGCCGCAGTAGGGTTCGACAAAAGGCAAGGGTTCGACAAAAGCAAGCGTACTTGGCAGCGACCCCTGTGGCCCCAACTTGCGGCCCCGCTACCGCCAGTCACCAACACACAAGCAAAACAGAGCTCAGAAAAGGGTCCTCCGCGCGGGATGCTGGCCGAGAGCTCCCCGAAAGCAGTTGATGCGCAGGCCGATCTGGAGCAGAGCGCAAAGTGGCCACCAAGTCCCCGCCAGCCTGGGTGTTCCGCTCGTGCATCAGCGCGCACAGAGCCAGTTCCACCTCCGGCGCAGCCGTTGCCAGATCCGTGTTGGCTAGGTTGCCAGTGCACCGCTTCAAAGCGGCCCACTGCGACTCCTTGGATTGGCCCACGCTTGCAGGCGTAAACCCTGGCCGGGCGACAGCTATGCAGCACTGCCACTCAGCAGACCACAGCTGGCCCTGCTTGGAAAAGGCCACGTCAGTCAAGTAAGACATCCAGTCATACTCTTCCTTCACCCGCAGGCGGTCCAGGAGGGCCTGCGCGGCAAGGTCGAAAACCAACGGCGGGTAGAAGGCCGACTTCTGCGCCCAAGCACTCAATCCTCGCGACAAAGGCCCTTTCCTGCGCCGGCAAGCTGCAACCTGATGCCGAAGATCCCTGCGGTAGGGGACACCCTGGAGCTGCGCGCGATGGGCGGCTCTTTGTGCGGGCGAGTTGTCGTAGAAGGCAGCCTGCACGTGCCTTCGGAGGTCCAGCCCGCGCTCCTCGTAGATGCCCAGGATCGCTTCCTTGATGTCCCCACAGAAAGCCGCGCTCTCCTTCGGGGTCCAGGCATGGCCCAATGAAAGCTCCGTCGTCCTCCAAAGCCCACCGGTGAGATGGAGCGCGGGGCAGGCTATAGTGCTCAGGCACCAACCGGAGCAGTTCATCTTGTAGGTTGCGTCCTCCGACCAGATCAGGCTGCCCCCCTCATCCACCCACTTTCTGATTGCCCTGACCTCTTCCTCCAAAATGAACACGGTCGCGGCAACGCCCTCGGTCTGCAGAGCTCGATAATGCACCCCAGAATTGGAGGAGTTCCGAGCCTCCACAACCAGCCTCAGCACGGTGGGCGAACAATGCGCTTTGGCATCCCCTCGTCTTTTGGCGCGGACGGCTTTGAGACGCCGCCTGGCAGCTTCTACTGTCCGCAATCCAGGCAAATCTCTGCGATCCGTGCCATCTGCGAGCAGGGACGCCAAGCCTTGCGAAGGCGTCAGATGGGCGATGCGCTGCGCAGTCAGCCTCTGACGCACGGTCTGCCCGCGCACAACACGAGCAGTAGCTCCAGCACATGTGCCCCGCTCATAGACGCAAGCTTCCCACTCTGGGTCATCTGCCAAGCTGATCTTCTGTGTCAAAGTGATGTAAAAGGTGTGGTGCCGAGCCTGCCTCCCTCTTGCATCTTTGGCCCCCTGCAAGTCAGCGTGCTCTGTGCATGTGGCCCATGCCTTGCAGGTGTCGCCGACCACGGCCCTATCCACGGCTCCGATGATGCCTCTGCTGCTCAGCAAATGCCGCACGAAGTCTCTCCACAGGTGGAGGTGCCTGCGGCACTCACTGCCTTTCTCAGGCGGCAATGTGTCGCGGGCCAGCTCTTTCCATGGCTCCGGCCGGGCCATGGCTCAGTGCGCGGTATTTGAGCACGCGCAGGGCTGCAGGAAGAGCCTGCCCTGTGGCACACGTACACACACAAGAAGACATGGCTGCGTAGAACAAGAAAAAGAAACGTCACATGCTCAGTTCACATGCAAGGCACAGGTAAACAGCAAGCTGGTCTGCCACAGGTACTACAACCTCAACTTGGTAAGGGTTTCCTAGGGTTTAGGATCGAGGGTTCTGGAAGTCTGGTTTAGGGATTAGGGTTCCGGGTGTCAGCTGCCCTCTCTGTTGAGACCGAAAACACACGAAACATATGTAACTGCAGTCGTTCAGGCGGTACAAGACCCAGAAAAAAAAACCGCAACAGCAACGTCTCACAGGAGTGCGGGGCATAAGACACATGCAGCCTACAGCGGCTCTGAGGGTGGGGTTCCTACACGTGGAGGGAGGCATTATCTCTTGCAGGAGGACACCTCACCACAAGAGATAGTGAGCCTGGGGGGGGGGGGTGGGCGGGTAAGCCGACAGAGGAAAGTCACACAGGCACATAGTCGCCAAAAAGGTCAGCCTATTTTGAGAGAGACTCAATTGTTTTGTGTTGTTTAAGTCTCTGGCCTCCGAGCACATGCCAAAGCAGATCAGCCTCGGGTGGGCGGGCCGAAGGACGCGTCCATTGCACGATCGAATTAGCCAGCATGCCAGTGCGTTTATTGCAAACACCGGAGGCTCTGCTGCTGGCATTGTGCCAAGTGATAGCATGAGCTAGTTCTCCCTAGCTCCAGCACATTCTGTGGCCCATTGCAAACTGTAGATGTGGCCTTGCGCGCCACTCCAATGCATGATCGAATTAGCCGGCATGCCAGTGCCAGGTCCACGTTTTTTTGCAGACACTGGAGGCTCTGCTGCTGGCATTGTGCCATGCAAGAAACGGCGACCGCCGTGACTTTGCCAATGGCGCATCACTGCGAGCTGGCCTGTGAAGCACTGCCGGAAGCTTTATTTTCATTCTTTTCCCGGCAGTCTGTTTTCCCAAATAGTGTTTACAAGTTTGCACTCAGGTTTTCTCAAGCGCGGCGGCGACCACGCTTGCTAGCACACCGAAGCTGACATAGGCTACTGGCCCTGCTGGCTAGCAGCAGCAGCAGCAGCAGCAGCCGAGAACACACAGAAACACGGTTGCAAAAGCGCCTGTGTGAGTTCTCACTGAAAGCTCTCACCACGAACACATGCAGAAACGAGTGTTCTGAAAAGACCTTTGTTTCAAAGTATGTTTATCCCAAATAGTGTTTACAAGTTTACACTGAGAAGTGCTTGCGGTAAGAGCTAAGACTGGGCTGGATCACACTGCTAATGAGCACACAGCGCAGGATCATGCGCCGAAGGCTATTGGCTAGGGCGCCCCTGGTTGCAAATTGCAAAAGCGAATGCGTGAGTTCTCACTGAAAGCTTTTACCACGAACCAGTGTTCTGGACAGACCCTTGTTTGGAAGTGTGTTTAACCAAATATTTACAAGTTTGCGCTCAGGGCTTTTCATGGTAAGAGCCAAGGCTGGATTGGATCGCGCCGCAAATTAGCAGCCAGTGGGGCGGCGACCACGCTTGCTAGCACACCGAACTGACATTGCTCGCAGGAAAAGCTGCGCCTCACTCGATCCAGCCCCTCAGCTGATAAGCTAGCCAGTCCTGCGAACGCGCGCAACGTACATCGCTGCAAGTAAAATGCTACTGGTCAGCAACTGCGTAGGCTGCTGCTCACATCGGTGAAGAATATGAGTAAAGTAAAACATGAGAGGCACGACCCAAAGGGGCGCAAGGAAAGCTTGGCTCGTACCAAGTGGCCACTAAGAACAACCAGCAAGTAGCCGCGCCCAGCAGCCCATCGGGCCTTGGAGTGGGCGTAGTTAGCGCACATCTGCTGCAGCCCGCGCCAGAGCTGCCTCGGGGCAGACCGCAGCTGCATCAGGCAATGACGGCGCCATCTGCAGCGCCCCTTGCCTGAGCAGGCCAAGGCCAAGTTTCCTCTTGCTGTCTCGACCCCCGCGCAGCCGTACCCTTGCCCAATTTACCTATGGCCATGCCCGTACGTGTCTGTCTCCAAGATAGGGACCCGCGCAAACACAAAACAGCTCAGGCTAATTTCTCTTACTGCCAACATGGCTTGGTCGTGCAGTAAAGGGCGTCAGTATACGTGCCAAGGCTGTGGGCCGCGCCAGGCCGATATCTGACAAACGCTGAAAAATCACTTCACAAACAGACGGGGTTCTGCGAACCCTTGGACAAAGTGTTTGCAAAGCCTTCCCAGGATGTCAGCAGAATCTCACAGAAATAGGCCAATTCTTGGCCGTAACCCTACAAACCGGGGCTGCCCAACGCACGACTCCCCGCAAAATTGTCTCAGTGACACAGCGCTTGTATGAAAACACGCAAGCCGAAGTGCGCATGAAGCGTCAGCGCAGCTGAAGCTCTCACAGGATAAGCTGACAGATGTACACCGCACATGCCCTCGGGAAAAATGGAGCTGTTGCTTCACTCATCAATTTCGGACAAGCGGCCTCAGCGCCGCAAACACTGCATCCGCGCCCTCCGACTCCGACTTGCACAGCTTGAAGCTGTTCGTCGAGCTTCCAGATACCCTCAGCGCGCCAGGCCTCAGCAGGTGAAGGCGCGTGTCAGCGCGCCTTGCTTTCACAAGTAAAAGCAAGACGCCCTGACAGGCATTGGCCACTGTGACTCTGACAAGGGCGGGTTGCCACAGACAGCGCTAAGAGTCAGCAAAGGAACAAAGGAGCAAAAGACAAGCGATAAACGCGTCACACGCCAAAACGGAGTTGCCTCACGCTGGGCGAGACGCCCCGAAGGCTGAAGGCGTCCGGAGAAACTCTGAATGTATCAGCCCGAAAAAAGTTCCTTTGGACAGAGTAGTCAAGAGGCCAAGCGCCCGTGGAGGTGGGCAGCGGGAATCGCAGTTAGAGCCTTCCAGCTGGGACCCCGCGGCCCTTTTTCGGCTGTTTCACTGCCCCGTGGACCTCAAATAATTTGGAAGCTTACCAGCTAGGTGGAGGAAACGTAAACAGGCATGAGTAGGCGATGCATGTTCCGCCCAAGGCACGGGACATTGAACTCCGTGGCGAACTTGATGACCAGTGTCTCAGCCCGACCGTCCGGCAGGACACGCTCCCGGATCTGCTCCACGGGCGCCGGCCCATACAATGCCTCGAAATCGGACAGGGAGAACACGTCGTACATGCTGGACGACCATGTCAAGGCCACCTGCCACGCTCTCAAGCCCGAGCATTGGCGCTTGGCGTTCCGTTTCAGCTTATGCACTTGAACGAATGAGAGCCAACGCTTTGCATTTCTCGTGAAGAGGCAGCTGCACACGCTGCGCACTAACAAACATGAGAAGAAAGCGCCAGTCCAAGCAACAGCGTCTTGCAATGCAGGACCCCTGTGAGAGTTCCGAGATGCGTTTATCTCAGGGTTCTTCGAACCTGCGGGGTACCAATAAGAGTACTTCTTCAGAGCACTGAATAGATCCCCGGCGCCTCTTCCGTCATAGAGACCGCGCCCTGCTGGGACGCCAGGTGCTGGTAGGCCAGACTACAATCTGTTCCTCTCTCTTGCTTCAGCTGACTCAGCACCTGCCTTTTGAAGGGAGCGTGCGCAACAGTCGTCCAGAACTGACTCATCGTTGAAACTCCTCTCAAGCACGCAGGCCGCTGCGCGGCATCCATCCGCAACACCTTCTGCGCCTCACGGCGCTCCCCAACTCCAAAACCGTGGGAAAGAAAAATGTTTGCTGCGCCCTCTGCACAGTCTGCCTGTAACCGCTTCCCCCGGAGAATAGGGCTTACGATGCTAAGTTTGTTTGGCCCACTGCTGAAGCAAGGCTAAACCGACCGACCCCAGATCCAAAACGTGTTCGGGGTCATCTCGGCCGGCAGCAAAAACACCCAAAAAAGAAATGGAAAGGGAGCTGTGCAGCACGAAACTCTTGCGCAGAAACGTCAACTCTGGACCTTTCTCCAGCCCAGGAAAGGGAGGATTGCTTTCCCACTGAAAGGCAATACGCCTGGATGCACAATGTCACAATACGAAACTCTTAGTCGGAAACGTTGACCCTCAACACTCACTCCAAATGCTGCGGACAGGAAAGCCATGCAACTCGCCTCACTGGGTTCTCCATTTGCCTCTTTCAACAAAATTCAACCACTTCAGCGACGCTGAATGCAACAAAGCTCCCTGTTCCGTCTCGAAGTCCATGTCTGTCTTGGATCTGGGAATAGCACTAGGCCCGGCTCGTAATGCAGAAGCATGGAGACCATTTTTCGTCTTTACGGCGCGAATTTTTGGGAGAAGGGATGACTTCGCCCAGGCACGAATAGGGAGCACCGCGAGCAACGCTGGCCGGCTGGTTCCCGCTCGCGCCCTGTGACCGGCTTCGTCTGGTACCGATAGCCTGTGGCGGAGATCGTGTTCCAGACCCTGCTGTAAGAAATGGCCACATAAGCGGATACAGCGCTGCTCAACACTCAATGAAAACACCGTAGCTGACCGACCGGTGGCAATTTGCAACAAGTTGGCCGACAGGACCCATTCGACATGGCTTAGATTCTATGCCTGGCTCGTCACCTGTGCGCCAGAGCCTGAACATTTCGGGCATGGGCTCTTGCCGAATGTCGCAACACCATGTACGAGAAACGCGTGCAACCACCGCAAACCCCACCGTCCGGTTTTGCTCGGGGGCCCCACAAAAATATAAAGGAGAAAAAAAGAGCACCGCACTGTCTTCCCTCTGCATAACGCGCGTAGAAAAAGGGGAGACAACTGTCTTTGCCAGCAGAGGGGAGCAAGCAAATCAACAATGGCGAATCAAGCCCTCATGGACAAACCTTCCTTTTTATAGCAATCGGAGGTCACAGTGGCCACGTGCCAAAATCACACAATCCTCTCAAGCGAGCCGCGCCGTGAAGCCAAGCCGCAACACCAAGCCACCTGCGCGCTTGTCTGGCTGCAGAGC